CCCAGCCTTGGGGGTTGTCACTTGGGGGGGCAGTGAGGTGCAGACTTCCCCCCCCCCCACCTCACTCCCTTGGGGTGGTGGGTTTGGCCCCGTCCGTGCTATGGGGTGATAAAGCCATCGGGGAGCAGGTGGCTGTGCCAGCCCTGGGTGGTGCAAATAGGATGGGGTGTATGTTTTAGCTCACTCCCGGCAACCCACGGTCCCCAGTGGGGGCCAAAGACGCCGTTTTTGTGTCCCACCCTGCTCTGGGCACATGGGGTGATGGTGGCAGATGGGGTGGATGGAGGGGATGGAGGGGACAGGAGGTGGGAGATGAAGGGTGATGGCTGTGTGGGTGGAGGGGGAGCCCGGATCCAGCATCGGGAAGGGCACGGGGCAGTGGGAAGGGCCACCGAGGGCTACCATGAAGTGTCTGAGGACCACAGGGTGGCTGGGCTGCCCGGGGATGCCACAGGGATGCTCCTGCACACTGGGGCAGATCTCCCTGCTGCAGAGAGACATCTGAGGCTCAAGCGTCATGTCTGATCCCAAACTGTGGGGCTGTTTGGGATAGCAGCTGGGGGGTCACCAGCTGCTATCATCACCAGCAGCCAGGCCCTCTCCCCCATAACCCGGCTGAACCCGGTTGCTGTGCCCCACTGCCGCATCCATGCAAAGAAATTGTTAACAAAATGTAAGGCAGCTGTGCTTTAAGGACGGTCTAAACTCCAGCTTGCAGTTTTACCACTGCCTTAGCAGAGTGCTGCAGTGTCAAAAGCTCTCCTAAACCACTGCCACCACGTTACCCCTCACCCTGCACCTCCCCCAGCACCCCTACGGAGATGGCTGAGCTCCTCAGGGGCACAGCGCGGCTGGCAGGGGGATGCTCAGGGCCACAGGAGCTCCCTGGCAGGCCCCAGCACGCAGACAGTCCATGAGGGTCAGGCACAAGCTAACTGAATGCATAACTTTATTAAATAAATGCTTTGTCATGAGAAAAGACAAAGATCAAAGAGTAACATAAATTATAAGTTGAATAAATAGTATACAGCAATCTTCACTTTTTAATAAAATGTGAGATTTTTTTTTTTTAAGTACAAAATGCTAAACAGAGCATTAAGCTCTTCTTCCATTGTCAGTTTTTCACAAACTGCTTTTTTTTTTTTCCCACCAGTAAGATTATGAGTATTTCTTGTTTACTGGAAAAAAAAAAAACACAACAAAAACAAACCAAAATGAAACAACAGAGCTACTGTATGTATGTAAAGCTATAAAAAGCTACCGTAAAATGTGTAGTGAGTATTGCTTAAAGATAAAAACCAGGCAGGAAACTCGGAATCTGGTGTGTTTTAACAACTGTGTTACAACGGTGGGTAACGTGCGCGGTGACGTCTGTCCCGGTGGCAGTGGTGGGGGGCTGGCGGGGCTCAGGGTGGAACCCAACAACAACAAAAAAGTAGAATTTTCATGGGGAAAGGGGAGAAAAAAAGAGAAGGGGCAGGGGGAGAGAGCAGAGAAATAGTGCAAAATGCTCTTGTACTAGTGGTTTTCGAAGTCCACTGCAGTACAGACAAGGGGTAGCCCAGCCGCCCTGCGCCACTCCCCGGGGAGATGTGGTGGAAGGGCTGTCCTGACCCCTGCGCCATCCTTGTCCTCTCCTTCCCAGCTTGCATCCTGGGTACCGGCACGGGCTTGGTGCAAACACCGTGGCCAGAGACCCCCGAGCCTCACACCTGCCCCCCCCAAGCACAAATTGCCAGCACTTCCCCATGTGCCTCAACACCCCCACCCCACCCCATTCCCCCCCAGCTCCCCAATCTGCCCCTTTTGGTTTTCTCACCTCAAATGCAAAGGAGTGCTGCTGGGTGGTGAGTATGGGAGCACCTCATCACTGTCACCCCAAGGGGGTGGCCAACCCCTCCTGAAACCACTCTTGCCTCCAGCCCAACCCCGGTCCTAAATATTAGTGCAGCCTGCAAACAGCCTCGTCCTGCCGGGGATCCTCGAGGAAGCGGGTGGCTGGGGGGTCACTCGGTGCCCTGTGCTGGGAGCCGAGGTGGTTGTGGGGAGGTTGGGGGGGAACGAGGGCAGTGCAGCCCCCTCCTTGTCTCTTCCTCCTTCCCCCAGGTTGGTGGGGACAGCACAGGCAGTGCCATCCCAGCGCTGGATGTGCAGGGGGAAGGGAGGCTGTGCGGGATGGATTTTGGTGCTCTGGGCTCCCAGGGCCATGGCTGAGACTTCCTTTGAAGGGGGAGGTCAAGGAGGCACCCTGTGTACCCCTCCCAGCGTCACCGCGGTGGCCAGGTCACGAGACCACCACCGGGCCCCGTGAGCTGACCCTCACCCTGCAAAAGCATCAGCCCCGAAAGACAAAGTCCATGCGGAGCTGCTGTCCCTCCCTCCACTCCCATCCCACCCTGGCAGCACGTCTCCTTCCTCTGCAGCTAAAGGCTTTCAAGTTTTGGGAAATCAAACAACAAAACAAACAAACAAACAAACAAAAAAGCAAGGAAGAGGGAGAGAGAAGGAGGGAAGGGTCCTGGGGAAGGTGGTACTGGCCTATAACAGTCAGGAGGTTTTGCACGGGGATCGGCGAGTGGAGGAGATGGTAGACAAGTGGTGACAACAGTGACCTGTGGCCCTTGGGGTTGGCACAGGCTCCTCCTCTGCCTGCGTTCTTCACCCCATTCTTCACGCCACCTTCACCGCACCGTTAGCCCCCCACCCTGGTGGAACCAACCCTGCTCCATCAACCCTGCAGAGCCCTGAGGGGTCTCTCCCTCAGCCCCAGCACCCACCGTGCTCCCATCCAGCATCACAGGGGTCACCTCGCTCTTGTGGGTTTTTTGGGAGGACAGATCTCCTTTTGGTGGCACCCCCCTTCTTTTCAGCAAGGGAAGATGCCTCACCCACAGCTCCAAACATGCCCCACCAGGTCTCTGTGGAAGTCCATTGGCAAAACTCGCCCCCACCATAACTCCAGGGGAAGTAACTGTGGACATCCAGTCCTGCCCTCAACTGGGGCAAGTGTCCTTGTCCGGGGGGGTCCGTGGAATGCTCAGGGGACCGATGCTATGCCGTGGGAGGCTATGAGGGTGACCAATCCATGATGGAGCCTCTGCCAGAGCCCCTCGATGCCGAATCCCCCTTGTCCCATCCCTGCTGGTGGGGAGCCAGTGGCACTGCAGAAGACCCCTTTTCCTCCCTGCCCTTTGGGCAGTGCTGGCTGCCAGCTCCAGCCGCGGCGGTGGGATGTGGTCCCCAGTGGGTACGTGTTTGCCCACTGGGATTGCAGCCCCCAGACCCCACGGCTCGCTTTCCTTTCCTTCCTTCCCTTTGCTGCAGTATTTCCTCCCAGCACCAACACCCTGGAGACCCTTGTCATGGGGAAATGAGAGGCAACAGTCCCAAAATCGAACGTAAAAAACAGAAACAACAAAAAAGTCAGGAAGGCAGCTGAGGGCTGTCCCAGCATGCCTGAGGCAGTGGGTCTCAGCGGCGTGGTGGCTGCTGTCACTCAACAAGGAGCTGGATCCCGGGTGAAACACGAGGGCCTGTAGCAGGATCTTACTGCAGGGTGGCAGGAATCAGCCATGGCAACGTAAGCAGTATCCTCAACGCGAAAGGATGGAGACTGATGTTTTCCTACCCACGGGAAAGGCTATAAACCGTCCTTAACAAAAATCCAAGACAAAACAAAGCGAAGGTTTGTTTTTGGGTTTGTTTTTTTTTTTTTTCCCCTGGAGCAAACCACATTTTTGGCTGTGAAATAATAAAATAAAATAAAAATCTCCATAGTTGGTCTTCCTTGTGGCAGCAAAGGGTGATGAAGGATTTTGGCCCCGATCCCCCTGTCCCCATGTAGGGATGCTTCAGTCTGGACAGTGATGGAGTATCTGCGGTGTCGGTTCAGATGCAGCCCTCGGCGTCAGCAGGGCCCCGATCCCACGGGCACCGATGCTCCTCCGGTGCTTAGTCCCGCAGGTTATTATACTTTTTTGGGAGGGGGGCAGCATCTCTCCCCCTGCTTAGGGTTAAGCCCTCCAGATTGCAGGTTTCGAGGCGAAGTTTTACAAGGAGGAAAAGCCACGTCCATGCACACACACGCTCGCACACACACACATGCACAAACGCTTCCACACCTGGATGGACAACGGTCAGAGTTCCGCTTGTCGAAAAAGGTTTCTGACCTCCCGTTTGAGAGGAACTGGATGGAGAAGGACATCTTTCCTTTTTGGATGATTTCCTTTTGAAGTCCACAAGTATTTTTGACAGGTTATTCGTGCCGTTGCAGGAGCTGTATGTCCCTCCCCAGCTCATCTCCAGACTCGAAGCCAGCAGTGCCCCTGACGTGTCGAAATCTGACTGGATCCGGGGCGGTCGTTTGAGACTGAAGTCAAATCAAGTCGACTCAAGTGAGTCCCAGTGATGTGGGCAGGAGACTCTGGAGGACAGCAGCGAGGAGGGGGAACACTGGTGGCCGCAAGGTTTTCTCATGAGACCCTTCAGAAAATGACTGGCTAACCCAGGAAAAATAAAATTAACCCGCCCGAAACCCGTACTGGAAAATCACCAACTGGGAGAGCTTCCTACATCAGGGTGGCCTCTGCTCATGGCAGGGGGACGCGGGGGGCGGGGGGGAGAGGCGGGGGCTAACCCAGGAAAAATAAAATTAACCCGCCCGAAAACCCGTACTGAAAATCACCAACTGGGAGAGCTTCCTACATCAGGGTGGCCTCTGCTCATGGCAGGGGGGCGCGGGTGGCGCTGGGGAGAGGCGTGGGATAGCAGAGTGGCCGCGGCTGGTTTGTCTCTGGCTCTGTCCTTTCCTTGCTGAGTCCTTGTTGTCAAGAGGCTGCTGTAGATTCCGAGTCCTCAGTTTCTTCAGGATTTGTTTTTCTCCTTTCTTTTCTTATTTCTTTTCTTTTGTCTTCTTTTCTCTTTTTCTCTTTTCTTTTCTCTTTCCTCTTTTCTTTTTTCTTTTCTTTTTTCTTTTTTCTCTTATTTTTCTTTCTTTTCTTCTCGCTTTTCCTTTCTTTTCTTTTTGCTTTTCCTTTCTTTACTTCTCTTCTTTCTTTCCCTTTCTCTTTTTTCCCTTTTTCCTTCCTTTCTCTTTTTTCTTTTCCTTTCTTTTTTTCTTCTTACATGAGATGAAAGGAATCGGAGTCCCGGGGCGCGGGGAGGTGCAGAGGGGAGGGTGGAAGGGAGCCTGGGTAGGTAGTGATGGGGCGGAGGGAGGGGATGCGACTTCACTCCACGTTGCTGCTGTCGAACGCATGGCACTGCAGGTCTCCGCTCAGGTAGTCAGTCCCCGGCAGCTTCATGCCGTATTTGTCCACGCACCAACACAACCCACGCTTCCGGCCTCGGGAGGGCTTGCACTGGGGAGACACCCAAGGGCAGAGATCAGGAGATGGCCACCAGCCGCCGTGTGCCTCCCTTGTGCTGAGGATCGGGATCAGCCTTGTGCTTTTGCCCCTTTCACCCCAGTGATGCAATCCCCTGGGTAGGACCTAGCTCCTGCTCTCTGCTTTCAGCACATCTCCATCCCCGCTGCTACCCCAGCCCAGGGTGTGCTGACTTTTCCTCCTCCCACACCAGCTCTGTCAGGATGCTCACCTCAGGCCAGATGGCACTCGGAGCCATCAGCAAGGCCACCCACCACCAAATGTGCCTGGAGATGCTCACAGCACCTTTCCCACCAGCCAAGCAGAGGAAAAAACCTCCATCCTTTCCATCCGGGGCAGCAGACCCTCCCTGTGTGAGAAGCATCCCTCCATGGGGCTCTTTCTTACCTGCTTCCTCTTGTAAAAGCCCTTTCGGTCACAGTTGGGGAGGTGGACAGCACGAGGGACCATCCGCTGGCTGCTCTTGAGCTCCTGCAGGGACGCCTCCATGTGCCTGCGGCAGGGGCCCTGCAAGTGGGGAGAAGATGGAGCATGAGAAGAGGAGCACCTCTCAGCAAGCCTCCAGCTGCAAATGCCCCTAGGTCCCCTGCCCCCCCGCCACTGGCACTTGCCCCATGGAGGGCAGGCAAAGGCACCCACCAGCTCAAACTCTTGCCGGAGCTCGGGGATGACAACGCGGGGGTGTGCTGTGTTCTCAGCCATGCCCACAAACTTGGCCAGGGTCAGCTTCTTCCGGCGGTCTTTCTTCAGGGCCTCAGCCTTCAGCTCGGAGAGGCGCCCATGCTTGGGCCGGTAGGCCTTGGGCGGGTAGGTCTCCTCTGTCATCTCCGACGTGGTTGGCTCCTCATGCTCTCGGGACTCCCGTTCTGGAAGGGAAGGGGTACCAAACCATCAGGTCTCCATGAGCTGACTGGGGCTTGCTTTTGCATGGAGACCCTCCTGCCTGAGCCCACAGGACATCTTTGCATCAGGCAGGACGGGAACAAATGACCAAAGAAATCCCTTTCCCAGCTGCTGCCTACAGCCCTGGCTTTATCCCCCTGTGTGGGACTTGGCATGGCTTTCGTGTGATCCCCAAGCTCAGGACAGGAAGGTGTCTGAGGGCATTGGAGGAGCTGGGGGTCAGGATGGACTTTTACATAAAAGGCTATCATTGTTTGCAGTGTGTCAGTGGAGAAGGACTGGTGGGAGGGTTATCCCACACCCAGAAAGGACCATCTGACACACAAAATGTGGCAGAGAAGCCCCTGATTAGCCATGGTGAGAGGATTAAGTGACAAATTCACACCTCACCCTGCCCTGGCAGATGCAAGAGCAAAAGCTAGGGATGCTTGAAGACGAGACAACTCCAAAGTCAAGGTCAATCCCACCGCAAAGCCACTGCGCGGCTGGGCAGACACTTAGGCAGCGATGCCAAAGACACGGCGCACAAGTACGGGGATCTCAAGGGTTCCTCAGCCTGCAGTCCCACGCTCACGGGACCGAACCAGCCCCCGTCCGCTGGCACACACCGAGTAGCCAGCAAAGCCCAGGGTAACGCTGCCGAGCGGCGCTGCCTGACCATAGCTGCCGCCAATAGCACTGACGGCAAGGGAGGAGCAGGTTTAGGCTCTGTCCATGGCAGTCGCCTTCCTATAGACCACCCGGATCGCCCCAGTGTGACCTGTGCCGGCAGGATGCAGTCAGGAGCCCTGCACGGTTATATATAGGAGCGAGCTGGTGACAGTCTAAACTTAGATGACTTGTGACATTTAGTACAGCCACCAGAGTGAAAAAGGGTTATTTCTGGACTAAATTTGAATAGACTTTAAAGCTCCTGAGGCTCCTGGTCTCCCAGTCCCAGGTTCCCAGCAGGCCTGTGCTTATGCCAGGTTTGTGCTGGGGCCAGTGGTCAGGAACAGGGGAACCCACCACGGCGGGAGTAAAAGCATCAGAGCGGCTGAAATCCCTCCCTGCACAGCGTCTCCTGCGACTTCAATGCCAGCAAAGACGGCTCATCCCCTCCTACAACCCTACAGTGAAGACAGCAGGGCACCAATTTTGCCCCTCCTTGCAACATCGCTGTTGGGACAAAAGAAAAAGGTTTAGGATGAAAATAAAAGTGGATAAGCCCACCTCCTATCCCCTCCCCAACGAGGTAAACAGGAGTTTTCTTGCAGACGTGCAGCTCCCTGGAGCCCAGATGCACCCCAGCGGGGAGAAGGATGGCTCTGCCCCACCAGGCTGGCCAGGGGTGCCCGGGGGGGATGCCCGGCAAGTGGGGGATGGATGCGCCGCTCAGCAGCAGATGGCAGCACCAGACTGTCACACACACCCCCAGCAGGGTGGCCTTGGAGGTGTCCAAGGGGACAGGCTGGTCACTAGACCCCCAAGCCTGCCACGGTTGCCAGTCTCTCCTCCCTCCTTGCCAAGGTGGACCTGCCCTCTCCCAGCAAAACTGGTAAGTTTTCTACAGCCGCTTATTTATTAAAGCAGCCTCTTTTTTTCTCTTTCCACAAGAACAGATCCGGGTCAGCACCCCAGACCCAGCACCATCCTAATGCCCACAGTCCCCCGTCCACCATCCCTAGGACTTGCACGTATCCCCAGGGCAGGATCCTCTTGACATTTTGCCCCATGATATTCATATGTTTGGGATTTTTTTTCTTGCTGCAGGACTCGAAGGCCCCCACAGGTTGGGGCTCCTCTATTATAAGGGGATGACAGACAAGGAATAGGGAAGAAAATTATTAAATTGGGAATGATCATATCCCTCAGGACATGACACGGTACAAGGTGCAGTAGAAGAGCATCCTTTGCCACAAGGATGTTGCAGCAATCCGAGGTCTGAAAGGAGACTGGAGACATCTGCAGTGACTAAGCCCTTCCATGGCAGTGAAACAAGCTGTGATCTGTCCCAGGAATCCCCTCTGGCACTGACTGCCAGGGACGGGATGGACATGGCAAAGCCGGGGCATCTCCCTGGGCTGCCCTACGGTAATTAAGGGGAGGGGAGGATTGACACTGGTGTGGGCAACCCTACAATAACACAAGAGGGGCACAGCTCATTACCTCTGCAATAACAAACAGAAGAGGCACAGCTACCTGGGCAAACCTAAAACAACAAACAAACGGGACAAGGCAGAGAGGAGTCAGTCAGAAAAACAGCACGGGGTGTCCAGTCCCCTGAACTGGTGGTGCGACGGGTGTTTGCAGCCACTCAGCCCGCTCATGTGGTCAGCAGCTTCAGCCTCTGCAAACACCTTATTTCTCTGCCTCCTGCAAGCTGGCAGAGCGGGCTGGGAGCTGGGGACTACCGCAGAGCCCTTTCGGCAAAGGGAGACGGCAGCTGCGTCAGCCCGGTGCTCGGCAGAGGGAGATGAGGGCTGGCGGGCACTGGAAGCTGCCCAACTCCCACCCCAAGTCCAGCTCTTCTCGCAGGGCTGAAAAAGCTCCTGGAACCAACCTCCTTCATCCTCCCCAGCCCGCACAGGTCCCTGCTCAAGTAGTGATTCGACAAGGGATGGCTGTGGTGGGGTTCCTCCATCTGCCACTCAGCAGTGGCGTCTAGTTTGGGTCTTTATTTCCCAGTGAGAATCCCATGGATGCCTTGGAGGGATCCCTCTCTTCCACCCTCTGATGACTTCTAGCCTAATTTCCTCCAGCAAGAGGGTTGAAGCAGTCCCTGCTTATGCAGCTGACTGTCTGTTCCCTAATTTGATACTAACAAGCCAATTTTGACAAACTGAAGGGCAGAGGTCTCTGACACACACTCCTGACAAGCCCTGGGCAGCTGGTGAGGGACCTTCCTGGTGCCAACATGAGAGGGAAAGGCAGAGCCGGGGCAGGCAGCACCCACGTGGGGCCCCCTCCTTCGTCTCCTGGCTGGCTCACCCACATCAACCTGCAGCCGCCCGCTGCAGCTGGGACCAGACACCCACGTTAGCATCTCCAGAGCCCCTGCACCTGCCTGCCCATCCTCACCCACCAGCTCGTTCGTTAACCTCCATCTGCCACCCTGGGCTGGCTCGTGGCAGGCAGAGAGGGCACCACTGTGCGTCTGCTCCGGAGGAGACGCCGGCAGGAGCAACGCCCAGTTTCCCCGAATGAGCCCTAATTGTGCCTGTCTGAGACTCAGGAAGGAGGCTGGAGTTCCTCCTCCCTCGCTGTCAGGATCTGGCCTGCTGCACAGCCCCTTCCCACCACCCACTCCCATGCGCGGCGCCAACCCTGCGATTGGGTTTCAGGCAGGCGGCTGTTTGCAGAGGCAGGGCGCGCTACATCTCTGTATTTCAGCTATGGGCACAAAGCATAGGCAGGAATGGGCTACTCACCACATCCCCAGTTGGGGGACAGTGGGAAGCAGGAGGTGGGTGGCGCTCACCCCTCCATCCCTTCTGCCCGCTCCTCAGGAGGAGGCAACCTCTCAGCAGAGGTCCCAGGCTCGCTGGCCACACAGAAGAATGACATTGCTGGCTAAGCTGAGGATGCCCTGCTAGCCTGGAGGTGAGACCTGGGCTGTAGCTACCTCAAGGGGATGTTGACCCTACAGCCAAGGCAGGAGATTGAACTCACCTCAGAGCCACACCATGGCTTCGTCTCTGGTCCTAGTGCCACGGTGCCCATGAAGGACCCAGGGGAAGAGTGGCAAGCATCTGCAGATGCTCCTGACACAGGTCAGTCCTGAAGGGCTGTGCTGTTGATGTCCTAATTCATGCAGGCTTCCATGAGCCCTGGGAGGCAGAAAATACCCATAGCAGAGCATGGGCTGTCCCCTGCCTTGGGGCTGAGGGCTCAGTGCCCTCTCCCTGCTCCAGGCTGGCCAGAGGGAGCTCCATAGCAGGAGCCGTTTCCAACCCTTTCACCGTGCCCCTACAAAAGGGACATGGAGTAGCAAAACAACAGGCTCAGTTTCTCAGAACATGCAAATCGCTCCTGTCCAGCTGCCTGCTGTCCTTGACAGACATCCCATGCACCTTCTTGCACCTGGGCCAAAACCCAGCCTGGGTGCTTCCGTGCTCCAGACGTTTTGGACACGTGTGAGGTCCCCGCAGGGTGGGGGTGTGTGTTCACGCGTGGGCGCGGGGCGTGTGGGAACACCACCTCCCTGCCTGCTGACATGACAGAGTAGAGCAGGAAGCTTTTTCCAAATGGCTAGGAGGCTTGAATTTTCGTAACACGTTTTCATCGGTTTCTGGCAGGAAGGTAGGAAAAGTATCTATTGACTGCTGCTGCTAATGATCCGTGCTCGTTACATCCACAGCCCACTGCTAGAGGACTTGCTGTCCTGTTCAAAATCCCCCCAAAAAGCCACACACATCTAAGAAGGGCAGGCACAAGACACCTAAGCGCACACCTAAGAAGGACAAGCTAAACAGCCCTCTTGATTATCATCATGATTATTATTATTTACAACATGAGCACAACATAATACACCACTTAAGCAGCAAGGTGTTGAAGAAAGACTTAACGGGGATCTCAGTTAAACTTCTAGCATAGGAACAATGGCAAATGTCACTGGTGGAGACCTTGAGAAGTTGCCCAGTCCTTCCCCTGCCCCCAAACTGGGCAATCTCTGTTCAGAGGTGCTCATTGCAAGACAGAAATTAAGGCTTACATTACCCAGGGCTGAAACATCGCTGCTTATAGAGCAGCAAGTGTCTGCCACTAAACAGCACAGTGCAAAGTGCACAATGTCTCTGCTCTCCACTGGAGGAGGATTTACCCCCAGGATGAAGTACAACCTCCCAGTACGCCCATGAAGGGAATATGCTCAGCTGCAGGACATCATGAGTGATGCCCCCCAACCCTGCTTTTCCAATGCGCTCTTTGTGATTGTGGGCCCTGGTGGCAGCTGTCTTTGGAGGACTCCAGTTTCTGTCCC